TCGCTGCAGTGCGTCTCAACACGCCGATAGAGCGTCCTTACGCAACTGTGTTCGTGCAAATTGGGTGGTTGCTGTTATAATTCAGTACTTGCATCATGTTTGTCGCTTTCCTGAAAACTTTGGTCTTTAGGCCACCACTATCTTTGTGACAGACGAGGACATCTAGAAAAGCCAGCTCTTTGTTCTCTTCCTCCTCCATGGTTAGTTGGATGTCCGGGAAGACGCTGTTGCGACGTTCCTTGAACGTAGGCACCTGATCCCGTTTGATGACGACGAAGGTTTCATCCATATACCGGGCCCAGAATTTCGGTTTGTGGTGTTGGAAGAAGAAGAAGACTTGGCGAGCACCAAATAATTTTGTATATTGCCTGCACGTTCGAACACTTACAGGAATCCATCTTCAGAGATGAGAAGTAGCAAACAAAAGGAGGTTAATCATAGTTATCATAAGCCAAGCTGCGGCCAGAGATTATCAGGTCGTCAAGGCGTAGGAAACAACGACTAAATAGAACGGCCGGGGGACAGCTGTAGTAGCATACGCTAATTAATTGTTAGTGGAGTGGGGGAGGGCTTTTGGAGTCATGAACAGCAATTAGTGTAGCTTCTCTTTTCTGACGATGGATTCTTATAAGGTTTCAAAAGCTCAGGAGAAGAAACAGATTGATCCGGTACTTGACAAGTGTTCTCGGTCTTCTTCATTCCTATCGACTTAATTTAGGCGAAAATAGCATCGGTTTAACACCGGAACAGTTAAATTAACGAAGTCGGAAAAGAGGAAGGACGAGATAGATGGGTTTGCAAATTAACTATCCGATAGGCTTACAGAGGCGAGATAGGGCAAGGGAGGGAGCCGTGCATTCGAATAAGTGGGCAGCCTAAGCAACCATTTTGAAAACCCGTCAGCGCCCAAAGGATCTAGGCCGGACGCCTTTGGGCCTACGAATTGGCCTTTACACAACCAATGAATTCTTGCAGCAGCTTTTCCAGTGCCTCCTTCGCCGGCGTCCTGACGAAGGTTCACATCCAAGGCACGACAACCCTCAGGCTTGGGCTGAGCTTAGTTGCGCTTGCCTGTGGAGCTGTCTTATGCGCGCCAGCCAGCCTGT